GCTTTTACACTGCAGTCTGCTCCAGTGAGTGGGGGCTAGATGGGGACTGGCAGTAGCCCATGACTGAGGCAAGGTGGGGATAGAGGGCTGGGGGTTCCCCTGGGTGGGGAGACCCTGAGACTGTGGGGGTATTGCCAGGGGGCAGCACCCCAAAGACAAGGGGTACTGGGTCCTGGGAGGGACATGGGGGGGGCAGTGACAGCGGGACACGGGCCTGCAGAGGGCGTTCCGGAGGCTGGAAATGCTAATTCCCTGAGATGACCAGCAGGAGGCGTTGCAGGGTGAGTCATCGCACTTTGACAGATGGCAGGAGAGAGATCACTTGATCATTACCTGTTGGGTTCACTCCCTCTGGGGCACCTGGCATTGATCACTGTTGGCAGACAGGATACTGGGCTGGATGGACCTTTGGTCTGACCCAGTGTGGCCATTCTTATGTTCTTATGGCATACCAGGACGTGTCCAGGCAGGAATGTGGAGTTTTAGCTAGTTGTCATAACTTGCTTCTCCACTCCTCAACCCCTGGAACTGACCTTGACTCTGACTTGGATTCTGGCTCCCAATTGACCTATGGGTTCCGAACATGGGCCCTGATACCTGGTATTGCCCCTCAGCCTGATTCCTGGCTCTGACTCCAGTTTGACTCTTGACCCCGATACTGACTCTGACCCCTGGCTTCAGTTCTGAGATCCCAAGCTCCTGCCATTAGTCTTGCTTATCTTTGTCCGGGATCCTGGCACTATCAAGCTAACCAGCAGGGAGAAGACTGTATATCATCTACACCCAGCAGAGGAAAGGAACTCTATTTGGGGATATACTTCAGATGAATACATACCAAAGATTGATTAGACTATAAAGAGAAGGGGAGAGAACCCCTAAGTTATTCCTCATCTGAGGAGTCAAAGAAACCAAGCACTTTCAGCTCTGTGTGTTGGGCCCTGGCTAAAGAATGAGTCAGTCATACTGGAGGGGTGTGATGAGAGAAACTTCTTTGAACAAGACACTCAAGTTTCTTAAGCTGAATTTTAGTCTTTGAAGTGTCTTTCTACTTTCATTTCCTTGTAACTGTTTCTCTCCTTATTCCTTATACTTGGTATCACTTAAACCTATGTCCTTTTGTTATTGTACTCTGCCCATAAACCATCTCAGTGCTTTGATTGAAGTGTCAAGCCCAGTTAACTTGATAAGCTCTTGTGTACTGTCTCTTAAAAGGAGCAGCAAACTTGACAAGGTTTTGTAGGCGCTCCAGTAAGAGGGACTGAGCAGTGCATAGAGAGAAGTTTTGTGGGGAGAATTGGGGGCTGGAAGCATTGTTGAAGTCACCCTGCAAAGAGTAACTGGGTGGAGCAAGCCAGGATGTGAACTTCAGGCTTGTCTGCTGGCTGTTGGTTTCAGGGCTGTGAGCCAAAGCAGCAAAGCATTTAAGGAACCCAGAGATGCAAGGTAGGTGTTGATTGAACCCCTTACCGGCCTGGGTGAACCCTGAAGCATCACACATGGCTAAGTTACCCACTTCTCTGTGGCTCAGCTCCTCACCTGTACACTGGGGATAGTGATATTTATGTGGTTGTTGTGAGGGAAAACTGATGAATGTCTGGGAGATGCTCAAATATTACAGTGACGGTGGCTGTATGAGTACCTAGATCGTTCAGTTGCTCGATATTGTAAAACTCAGCCAGGATGCTTATTTACTTGTGTATACTTCTGTTGAGGGGGGGGGGGTGTACCTTGATGGGTTATCTCACAAGAGAGATTCATATTTGACTTTCAAGGCTTAGAAAGGACCATTATGACCATCTAGTCTGACTTCTTGAATAACACAGATTTCACCCAGTAATTCTGACATCAAGACCATAATTTCTGGTCCAACTAAAGCATATCTTTTAGAAAGAGAACCAGGAAAGTGAGCTGCAATTTTTTCCAATGGATTTTTTTCTTTTCCCATCAGAAAATGCTTATTCCACAAAATGGAAACACTTTGAAGGAAGTATTGATTTTGTGAACATTTCTGAGAGGAAATTATTGAAATGTTTCGTTTTACTTTTTTTACTTTTAAATTGCAATATCACACCACACAACATATCATATCCACAGTCACATATAGACACCCAACACAATCCTTTACCACACATCATCCACATCGCACCAAACACATACGCAACATACAAACACCTCACCATCAGACACCTACATCATCACATGCAACACCCCACTATCACAGACCCCATACAAAACACATAACACAACACCACCACACAGATACCATCACACACTACCACTATGTACCACACCCACAATGCAACGTAAGAGTGAAAATGGTACAAAGATGCCTTCTTTAAACAAAGGTGAGCAAATCTAACCTTATCTAAAACAAAGCATTTCAACCTTCTCTTAGAATATCATCTCAGTCCTTAACTTCAAGGTATTTAGGCCCAGTTCCGCAGAGGTATTTAAGCTCCATTGAAATCAATGGACATTAGGGGGCCTAAATGCTTTTGAGGATCTGAGCCTTTAGGATTTGGGCCTGTGACAAAGGAAAGAAAGATTGTCCCTCAGACACAGTGGAGCTGTCTCCTGCCAGAGGAAGCTCTTTTGTTCAGGAGACCGTTTTCTTGCTGGTTGATTAAGACTCTGGACCCAACTACCACAGGATCACAAATCACCTGAATCCTCTTTCTGTTTCACTTGTAAATGACCTTCTAAAACTTGCCTTCACTAATGTAAGCTCATAGCAGGTCATACAATAAAACCACAAATAACCCTCCATAAGAATCCATATGCACTTTCCCCAGGGGGAAGGATGGAGAACGAACCACATGTGATGGAAGAAAATCATGCCACTTAATGCACCTCTTTAAGATGCTCTGGTGCCACAGTGATGGGCATAGTATCAGAATTTGTAGGGCAGAGAAGAGGTTAGGAGCCTCTTTTCACTAATCGTGTGTGTGTGTGTGTGTGTGCATGCGCGTATTAAGGTACCTGTAAATAACCTCCCATTTATCCTCCTGGATTTCAGAGGAAAGTCTGGAGTCTGGATTGGGGGTTAGGGCCCTCTCTGGAGTTAGTGAGAAACCCAGCAACAAAATATTCCTGTTATCACACCCCTGATAGAACATTCACTCTCAGTGCAGTGCCCATCCTGGAACCGGCGATACCTGAGAAGTGACATTTTAACATTATTACTTTTGGGTGATTCAGTCTCCATCTCTCTCCCTGCTGGTCCCCATGGAGCCACCCAACAGACCTCACGAGAGAAACATCAACCCTGGAACAGATCTTCAAAAAGGGTTTAATAAGAAAAAGCAAAAATTCACGATGAAGAAATGTTAGGAACACAATATCAGGGAAGTTCCAGACTGTCTGATCAATGGGAAGTTACAGGGGAAAAATCACAGCCCCTGTCTCAGTCACACTTACATTTCTTGCATCTAAACAAACTGCAATAAAAAAAGCTAATTGAAGTAGTTCCCAGGCAGGGATTTTCTCTGATACCTCCATGGGTGAATGAGCATTTGGGACAGGAAGAGTCTAACCATACAGCATCTACATCCTCACAGGATATTTGATCTGAACCCAGCCGTTCTTATATTCATGTCCCAGAGGCGCCATCATCAACATCATCATAACCCTGGTCATGAGGAGGTGGGGACAGGGCGTCCCTCTCAGCCCCAGAGGCCCCTTCACTTCTTAGCGAGTGCAGCCTCCAGCCTAAAAATAGCAAGGAGGTCACACTGCAGTAAATGTATCCATTCTCCACCCATGTGCACTCACATAATAGGTGGGCAACATACAGCATGGGCTGTGAATCAGCCCCTGCCCACAGTTCCTCTGAGTGGGCATCTGACAAATTTAATCCATTAACTCTTTCTGTTCTTCAAACAAAACATGTGGGAACAGATTCTCTCTGTGCTGAGACCTCCCTGGTGCAGAAGTGTGGGGATGGCAGTGAGCTGGTGACGACTCCCTGATAGGCCACTAGGGGCTGCTGTAACTCCTGACAGCTGATATAGTTCTTGGTGGCTGGAGTAGAGTGGGGGCCCTAACCCATGGGACATGCCTGGGCATCACAGATCTCACCTGCCCACACAATGCTTGTTTGCATGTTCTTGCCATCAAGACCAAAGAAATGCACATTTCATCCCTGGGCCCCAGGTCTGATTCTATCCTAAAAGGGACATTTACATATAGAAGAGAGTGATTTCAAACCTGAAGCTGGGCCAGTAACCAACCCCACAGCAGGGCCCTGCTTTTCCCGTTACCATCCAGGGCACTGACACCTGGTGTGGGGAAAGGAACTTGGCCCTGATCCTGCCAATGGTCACATGCAACTTTGCTGATTTGGACAGTCCCACTAAAGTCAGCAAGACTATTCATGTGAGTAGTGACAGATGGGATCTAGTATTTTTAGGATCAGGGACCTTATCTAGGAAATCTTGTCTCTTTCTTGGTTTAAGTCCATTTAACTCCATTTAAAGGTCAGGGTGGGGATACACCTGGCAGTTTACCAATGACTGTATTGCAGTGCAGTGACAGTGACCTCTAGCGGCCAGTAAAGGCTCTTCCAGGTGAGTTGCCAACAACAGAGATCCCAATACACAGGCCCAACAATCCCATCTGGAATTTCTATCTCAAATGTGTCCCCTCACAGAGACCCGGAGAGGAGACTCCTCTCAACCATTGCTTTGGCCAAGGTCGCTTCCTTGCTGCATAACCCACATTCCCAACTGGAGACTGTTCCTGTGGATCAATCATTGGGAAACACAGACCTTTCCAGCATCGCCAACCCCAAGTGTTCGGAAATGAGGGGTCAGGCCTCAAACATCTTGAGTTTGGCTTACAAATAATGAGATTTAAACAATTGTTTTGGTTCATTTCTCAGTTTTGTCTTGTGGTTTGAGGCTTTAGGTTAAATTCCAGAAACTGAAACTCTTAGAAAAACAAATATCATGGGACTAATGAAAACATTGTGACAATTGGCAACATTACATTTCCCCACTCACCAGTCTGATCATCTCTGTTCCTGTCACTGTCCCCATGGGCCCCAGGGACTTCCTGGGCACTCGGTCCAGAAGCAGGGTCATCTTCAGTGTTAGAAACTTCTCTGGCATCATCATAACCATCCCATGGGGCACCTGTAGACAGGACAGGGACCTCTGAAATAAAGATGGTAATTAATCATAATGAAAAGGGGCTTTCCACTGAATAGAGAAATAAACTATATGTCAGGTGTGAAGAATGAGGGATTTATGCATATTATTTCTTATGAATTTGTAATATACACCTCAGTTTACCTTTTTGATATTATCCTGCCAGACTGCATAGAGTTAAGAGTGCAAGGGACTATTTCATCAGGCCCTGGTGACTGGAAGACATCTAACTTGTCTAAGTAATTTTTAACTTATTTCCCTATTTTAGCCTCTCATCCTACCTCATTTTCACTAGCATTTACTATGTTAGATGTCCATGTGCAACTAAACTTTTTGGGGAAAACTGAAACAAAAAAGTCATTTAGCACTTCAGCCATTTCCACATTTTCTGTTATTGTTTTTCCCTCCTCATTGAGTAACGGGCCTACCCTATCCTTGGTCTTCCTCTTACTTCTAATATATTTGTATAATGTTGTCTTGTTACCCTTTATGTCTCTAGTTAGTTTAATCTCGTTTTGAACCTTGGACTTTCAAATTTTGCCCCTACATACTTGTGTTATTTGAGGGGTGCTGTTAATTGTGGAATGTCCCTCTCTGGCTTCAACCAGGCAAGTCTGGTTAATTCTTCCCAGCCCTAAGCTCAGGATCAAAGGGAGACTAGAAAATGAAGTGGGGGTGGAGCAACAGTAGCCATGGAGTAATGTTTTCAGGAGATGGATTCACTGCTCACCTTGACCGTCTGGAGTCCAGGGGATGTCGCTTGATGCAGGTTCCTCCACATTATTATAATCCAACTGAGAACCACCAGGGAAAGCTCCTTCTGGAACAGCAAACAGCACACTCAGCATCTCCTGAACACACCCATTTCCCCTGTAGGTTTTTAGTTCCCCATTAAAGACCTGTTGCCTTGGAGTTTGGGCTGTTTATCATGGAGTTTGTAGGAGAAGTCACAGGTGAGCCAGGGTCAAAGTCATGGACAGTGTATGAAACAGGAATTTTGCCACCTTTAGTTCCTCATAAATAACAAGGGCCCAGCCCTGACCCACTGTATCCATTAGCAACTTCGTCATGCCCTTCAATGGGATCAAGATCTGTGCTGGTGAGGCACTAACCCTTGACATATTGGAAGATAAAAGCTGCCACACCAGACACAACAGTTGTGAATCAAACTGAACTCTATAAAGGCATGCTTTAAAGTCTCTACTCCTGGGGGAATTCTGTGCTCCTGCAAGAGTGCAGAAAAGCACCCCCATCCCCTGCAGATTCTCTTTACTTTCTGCAGAAAATGGTTTCTGTGGGGAAGCAATGAGAAACTGCACCAGTGTTCACTCACTTCTCCCCAGCAGAGCCTAGGCTAGTGTGTTCTGTCAGAGAGGTAAATCACTTGCAGGGGGTGTCTGGGGATTCCATTGCAGATCAGGGACGTTAGTCTGAGCTGGGCGGTGGGGGGAAGAGGAGGACGGAGATGGAGTTCCACCTCCCTCATCCCCAAAATGGAGCAGCAGGAGCTGGGTCAGATCAACCCCTGGAAACTTCCCCTCGCTGCAGAAAACTCTGCACCATAGTGGGTGGTGGGGATTGGAGGGGGTGGTCTAGATGCAGGAGATGAGGCTTGGTGGGGGTTCTGGGGAGGGGAAATGAGGTTTGGTGGGGGGGATTGATTGGGGGGGATGGGCAGATGGGGGGGATGGGAGGACAGGGGGAGCAGCTCCCTGTACAGTGACTCCTCCCCCCTGCAAACAGAACCCCCTCCAGAGTCCCCCCTGCATCAGGGACCCCTGCACCCAGAACCCCCCAACCAAGCCCCCAAAACCAATTCCACACCCTCCCAAGCCTCACTCCCTGCATTAGGAGTCCCCCTCACACAGACCTCACCCAGAATCCCCCACTGAGCCTCCTCTGCACCCAAATCCCCACCCTCTCCAAGCCTCATCACCTGCATTGGGAGCCCATTGCTTCTTGTCCTATCCACACCTGGACTCTCATCCCACTGAGCTCCAACCAGTTGCACTTGGACCCCCCTCCGCTGAGCCCTAACCATCTTCATTGGGACTCCCCTGCAGAGTCCCATTTCCCCTACACTCTGAACCCCACACCGAGCCTCTGTGCATCCAGATCGCACTCAGACCCCCTGCCAAGCTGCCTGCACCCAGACTGCGCCACACAGAACCCTGGTACTCTTGAGGGAATTCTGCACCAAAAAAATTAAAAATTTTAAAATTGTGCCAAGTTCATATTTTATTTGTCAAAATAACACTAACACAACAACAATATAGTCACACCATTTTCAATTATTTTGGTAATTTATTTCAAAATACTTGTCAGCAAATAATGGTGTGATTATATTGTGTTATTTTGACAAAATATGCAGAATTTTGCAGAATTTTAAAATATTGTGTGAAGAATTTTTAACTTTTTGGTGCAGAATTCCCTCAGGAGTAAGTCTCTTCCTTTTATAAGGGGTAGATTCTGACTTGGGCTACATGCTCATGCTGGAGAGGCAGGGGGCTAAGATCATGGGGCACAGATCAGGGGCTGTTTAGTGATAGGTGCCAGCTGTTAAATTCAGATTCTTACATGTCAAGTGAATATTTCTGTATCCTATTCTCTGCAGTTTCTATCCTGGGAGAGGGCTCCGTGAGCCATGCAGAGAAAGGGTCAGGATTTGATCATACATTTCCATTAAGAGTTTGGACATACATCTTTGATGTGGAAATTAAATTCCGCACCTAGATGTGGGTGTCTGTCCTTGTATTCACCCCCCTCCCTTGTTACCTTGTTCTGATGCAGGATCGTTTTCCTCCTCACTATCCCCGGTGTAATACTGCAGCTTAGACACTGAATCATCTGAATAGGAGACTGGAGAAATGGTAAATGGGATGTTATCACAGTGACAGCAGCAAAACTGGCTGATGGGCAATGCATCCAGGTCCTGAAGCAGGATTTATGGTCTTGGTATTTTTCTCCTTCTAGAGAAGATGCTGAATTCACAGCAACTGACACTGACTTTCCAAGAGAAATATCGTGTGTGTGTGTGTGTGTGTGTGTGTTTGTGTGTGTGTGTGTGTGTGTTAAATGTGATTTGGGGTGGATAAAATCAGATTGGGAAGATGCTGGGAACAGCCATAATGACCTCATGAGGTGAGGGAGGGACTGAGTGAGCCCTTTAACATGGGATCCTCGACTGCTGTGGATTTAATTTGAATCCTTCTCATTAACTGGGGAGCCTGTTTTCATTCATACTCAGGCTGTAAGAATTGGTTTAGAGAGGAATGTTTTTCTCCTCCTCCTGAATGTTGCTACTTCATGGCCTGATCCAGCAGAAAATCATGGCTCAGGCTGCTGGTCTTTGAAAGGTCCAGACCTCCTCAGCCATGGACGTGACTCCCGCGTTGTTAAGCAAGATACTTCCCCTCCCCTGCCTTGCTGCCAGAGTAGGCCACGTCCCTCCAAGGGTCAAAGCCTTTTATCTACTCCCGCCATTAGTGAACAGGGATCTCAAAAGTAGCCTCAGGGAGACGCACTGACCATGCTCAGAGAGCCTGACAATGTGCTAAACTGAGAGCAGCATCTTCCCAATTGATTGACATTGAGTCAAAATGGTGTAAACAGACAGGTTGCTGACCCATAACTAGTTAGCCTTCAAGGCTGCAGGATGTACAGATGGGGCTGACTGTCCTCAGAATGGGGCTAGAAGAGTCTGCTTGGGAGGAAACTCATTCATTTGAGTCCAGTAACTGGCAGGTTTCTCCACAGACCCAGCTCCAGCAGCCATCCAGGACTCTCAGGGCTGAAGGCTGCAGAGATTTAGCTCTGAGTCAGAGTATTAGGATGGGAAGTGCATTGGAGATTTGCTCCCTGTTAGGAATGACACACAGACCTGAGCGACCAAACATCTGCTTCTTTCTCATCAGGTTATAATCAATCTCCTCATACACGGCCTCAGAGAAAGGGTCCAGGGATCTTCTGGAGCCTGAAAACAAAGAGCAAGGTTTGCACAGGGTCAGAAACTAGGGATGGGAAACCCTATGAGATCATCCAGCCCCTCCCCCTGGGCCCAGCACATTCCCACTGCTCTGTCCAATCTAGATTTGAACGTCCCAGGTGACAGGGACAATGCCCCTTTGATGTTTGTTCTATTGGCTATTTCACTGTCATTAAGTTTATCTTGATATTCAGCCTTTATGGTCCCTTGATAAATGTGTCCTGCAACTCCTAGTAGCACCCAAAATCATACCTCTTCCATCCTCGTGCTTACACCTATGGGCAAAATAGTACTTACATATTTATGTACTGCCTAGAGACTATCTGGGGAATAATTAGCTACTATTTGTGCAGTGCTTTAACAATGGAAAGTGCTATCTACATAAGGATTCATCCACACTGCAATCTGGAGGTGTGATTGCAGCACTGCAGGAGTAAACACACCTGAACTAGCTTTCACTGCTATTGTTATGCCACCTAGGTTTCAACTACTAGCATGTCAGGCTTCTGTAGTAGATACGGACTGGCTACAGAGCTTCCCTTCCAGAGAGATACTCACTGCATGTGTACATCATAAGATCTTTTAATACTCTGCCAAATATAGCTGATGTTAGCTGAAACAACTTATGTCACCTATTGTCTGAACAGTATAATACAGTTAAGCATTCCTTTGAGTATTCCACTTTAAGTTCTACATTCCTACCATTTACAAAATTTAAACTATCATGCTATCATTGTAGTTCAGTATGAATCAGTCTATTAAGTGTCTGTCTCTCAATCGTACTTGTTTTCTAATTACCCGACCCAAGCACATAACAACATGGTCATCCGGCTGTACATTAGTTGCAATAACTGGCTACAGCTGGTTTGGAATCCTTGAATCATCTTCTTATTATGCATCCACCATCTGTAGAGTTTGGTTTGTTGATTGTTGTTTCTGAGGAATAACAGGTGTTGATGGTTTCTGTTGAACTCTCCACTGCTGGTCACAATCACATTTGATCTGGGTACTGAATTATTTTTCTTTGAGACAGCTGGAGTTGTCCATTCTTTTCCTCCACCCAATTTGGCATGAACACAGTCACCAGATTCTAGACTCAAAAATTATCTGAGTGACATCTGTTTTAAAAGTGTTCCTGAGCTCTTTTAGCCTTTTTATCCCATTTGGCTACTCTCTTCATATAGATTCTTTTCTAAAGTTGGAACTGTAGTTCTGAGTTTTCTTCCTATGAGGAGTTGTACTGGACCACATCAACAGCTGCTATCCCCATATTGACTGGGTAAATGTCACTGTAGGATGGGAGGCAGAGACAAAGTTTCTTGACACTTGAAATGACTGCTTCTTAGAGCAGCTAGTCCTGGAACCCACAAGGGGAGAGGCAATTTTTTATTTCGTCCTAACTGGAGCACTGGTCCAAGAGGTGAATATAGCTGGACTGCTTGGTAATAGTGACCATAATATAATTAAATTAAATATCCCTGTGGTGGAGAAAACATCACAGCAGCCCAACACGGTAGCATTTAATTTCACACAAAAATGAGGAAGTTAGTTAAGCAGAAATTAAAAGGTACAGCACCAAAAGTGAAATCCCTGCAAGCTGCATGGAAACTTTTTAAAGACACCATAATAGAGGCTCAATTTAAATGTATACCCCAAATTAAGAAACATAGTAAGAGAACCAAAAAAATGCCACCATGGCTAAACAACAAAGTAAAAGAAGCAATGAGAGGCAAAAAGACATCCTTGAGAAAGTAGAAGTTAAATCCTAGTGAGGAAAATAGAAAGGAGCATAAACTCTGCAAGTCAAGTGTAAAAATATAATTAGTCAGGCCAAAAAGAATTTGAAGAACAGCTAGCCAAAGACTCAAAAAGTAACAGCAACATTTTTTTTAAGTACATCAGAAGCAAAAAGCCTGCTAAACAACCAGTGGGGCCACTGAACGATTGAGATGCTAAAGGAGCATTCAAGGATGATAAGATCATTGCAGAGAAACTAAATGAATTCTTTGCATTGGTCTTCATGGCTGAGGATGTGAGGGAGATTCCCAAACCTGAGCCACTCTTTTTAGGTGACAAATCTGAGGAACTGTCCCAGATTGAGGTGTCATTAGAGGAGGTTTTGGAACAAACTGATAAACTACAAAGTAATAAATCCCCAGGACCAGGTGGTATTCACCCAAGAGTTCTGAAAGAAGTCAAATGTGAAATGGTGAACTAACAGTGATATGTAACCTATCATTTAAATCAGCTTCTGTACCAGATGACTGAAGGATAGCTAGTGTGAAACCATTTTTTTTAAAAGGCTACAGAGGTGATCCGGGCAATTACAGGCCTAACTTCAGTACTGGGCAAACTGGTTGAAACGTTAGTAAAGAACAGAATCATCAGACACATAGATGAACATGATTTGTTGGGGAAGAGTCAAAATGGTTTTTCTAAAAGGAAATCATGCCTCACCAATCTACTAGAATTCCTTGAGGGCGTCAATAAGCATGTAGACATGGGTGATCCAGTGGATATAGTGTACTTCGATTTTCAGAAAGCCTTTGACAAGGTCACTCACCAAAGGCTCATAAGTGAAGTAAGCTGTAATGACATAAGAGGGAAGGACCTCTCATGGATCGGTAACTGGTTAAAAGATACGAAATAAAAGGTAGGAATAAATGGTCAGTTTTCAGAATGAAGAGAGGTAAATAGTGGTGTCCTCCAGGGGTCTGTACTGTGACTAGTACTATTCAACATAATTATAAATGATTTGGAAAAAGGGGTAAACAGTGAGGTGGCAAAATCTGCAGAGGATACAAAACTACTCAAGATAGTTAAGCCCAAAGCAGACTGCAAAGAGTTACAAAGGGATCTCACAAAACTGGGTGCCTGGGCAACAAAATGGCAGATGAAGTTCAATGTTGATAAATGCAAAGTAATACACATTGGAAAACATACTCCCCACTCTACATATACAATGATGGGGTCTAAATTAGAAAGATCTTGGAGTCATTGTGGATAGTTCTCTGAAAACATCCACTCAATGTGCAGCGGCAGTCAAAAAAGCTAACAGAATGTTAGGAATTATTAAGAAAGGGATAGATAATAAGACAGAAAATATCATATTGCCTCTATATAAATCCATGGTACACCCACATCTTGAATACTATGTGCAGATGCGGTCGCCCCATCTCAAAAAAGATATATTGGAATTGGAAAAGGTACAGAAAAGGGCAACAAAAATGATTAGGGCTATGGAACAGCTTCCGTATGAGGAGAGATTAATAAGACTGGGACTTTTCAGCTTGGAAAAGAGATGACAAAGTGGGAGATATGATTGAGGTCTATAAAATCATGACTGGTGTGGAGAAAGTAAATAAGGAAGTGTTACTTAGTTCTTCTTATAACTCAAGAACGTGGGGTCACCAAATGAAATTTATAGGCAGCAGGTTTAAAACAAAGGGAAGTATTTCTTCACACAACTCACAGTCAACCTGTGGAACTCTTTGCCAGAGGATGTTGTGAAGGCCAAGTCTATAACAGGGTTAAAAAATGAACTAGATAAATTCACGGAGGATAGGTCCTTCAATGGCTATTAACCAAGATGGGCAGGGATGGTGTCCCTAGCCTCTGTTTGCCAGAGGTTGGGAGTGGGCATCAGGGGATCGGTCACTAGGTGATTGCCTGTTCTGTTCATTCCCTCTGGGGCACCTGGCATTGGTCACTGTTGGAAGACAGAATACTGGGCTAGATGGACCTTTGGTTGATCCATTATGGCCATTCTTATGTTCTTATGGCACAAAACTGTCACCAGTTTCTAGACACAGCAGTTCTCTTACTGAGTGACAACTGTTGTAAAAGTGTTCCTAAGCTCTTTTTTTGCCTTTTTTAATCCAATTGGCTATTCTCTTCACGTCTGGCCACTTTGGAGATAGATTCCTTTCTAAAGTTGGAACAGTAGTTCTGAGTTGTCTTCCCATCAGGAGTTGTGCTGGACCACATCCAGTAGCTGCTATTTATGCTGATCTGTAACTCGGAAGAGCAAGGAATGGCTCTTCCTATTGCAGGATTTTTTGGCTGTCTGTACAGGTCTCTCAGCCTCTTTATTTGCTTATGGGTAATGTGGACTGTTAGTAATATGATCATACTCATATTTTGTTTAGAATGACATTCTCCTGCAGTGAATTGTGGTCCATTGTTTATCACTAGTTGTTCTGGAATACCGAAATAAACAAAAGTGGATTGTAGTTTTTCGATAACACTGTGAAATGTTTTGTCTTTCAAGTATATTATTTCTATATACGTGGAAAAATAGTCCACTACAATCAGGGAATGATATCCTCTGAATTCGCATAAACCTGCAGCTAGCTTCTTCCACGTTCTGTATGGTATTTGTACACTGTATAGTTCAGCATTGTCTCTTGAGTTTATTTTTACTGGATCGCCTTTCAAAAATCCAGTATCAACAAATCCTTTGTGAAGCTCTTCCACCTTTCTCACTAGGCCCATAATGGTGGGGCGGAGAAGGTTGTTGATCTTTGATGCTTTGATCACATGCACTCTGAATGCAAAGCTTTTGTCTTGGTAAGATGTTTCTGTGGTAAACTGGCCCATGCAAGCAGAATGCCTCCAAGGCTAGTCAGAGCTGTGTCAGGTGACTTCAGCTCTGGGACAGGCCGAAGGTTATTTTAAGTCCCTTCTGAGATGACTGTGACATTTTCTCTTGAGTCAATTTTAAAGTCAATAGCCTTTCTCTGAATATTCAGTTTCACTCTCCAGACAGGCTCCATATCTTCACACATGATTAGGGCCCTACCATATTCAAGGTCTATTTTGATCAATTTCATGGCCATAGGGTTTTCAAATTTGTCAATTTCTCATTTTCAGCTTTTTACATCTGAAATTTTATGGCATTGTAACCATGGGGGACCAAACCCAAAAGGTACCTGGAAGTGGGTCTGATCTCCCTCGCCCCCCCCCCCCCCCCCCCCCGAGCTGCCATGCAAGGGAAGGAAAAGTCCTGTCTCTCCCCAATCCAGGAGGGACTCACAGCTAGGAGCTCATTGGCAGGAGCACTTCCAGGAGCAGGGATATTGGACCCACCCCCACAAGTCTTCTCCAGCTGCAGGAACCTCCATTTCTGGTCAGGGAGCTCCCTCTCAGCCCAGCCAAGACTTGCAGCTAGGAGCCCCCTGACTGGGGTGCTCTCAGCAGCAAGGGGGAGATTGGATTTCACGGAGAAGGGTTTATTTCATGGTCTGTGACACATTTTTCACAGCCGGGAAATTGGTAGGGCCCTACATATTATAGATCTCAGAAACAATGGCTCTTGATTGTCTCTAATATGAATCAACTCCCTGACTACTTTGATGCAGCAAACAACAGCAAAATGTCCATGTTTTGTGCATTTATTAAACCCTGAGCCTTTGGGTGGACATTCCTCATTTCTTGGGATATGAATTTGTCCTCATCTTATGCATTTAGGCTGTAAGGCTTTTGTAATTGCTTGGAATTCAACCTTCTTAGCCCGGGAGTTCTGTCTCCTTACCTAAGCAGTCTTATGGAAATTACTTGCATTTATTAACAGCTTCTTTCTTTCAAGCTAGTTTCTTGTTTTTCAAGTTTGGCAAGTTGCTTTGGGTTTTGCTGTCTAATCAGCTCAGACTGCGTTTCTTTTCAGTGTGTAGGGTGAAGTCTGTTTTTAATTGTAGTTGCTGTGAAAGATTTTTATTTGTTAACCCAATAACCACTACTAGTCTGTCTCTGATATTTTCATATTTTTCTGTTCCAAAATCACAGTTTTCAGCCAATGCATGCAGAGCTCTAATAAACCATTCAACATTTTCCCCTAGTCCTTGAATTCTCTGGTGAAAACATGCACTTTCATAAACCATATTTCTCTGAGGTATAAAGTATGCATTAAACTCATCCAGAACCCTTTCGTGGTTGTCTTCATGTCAGTCTTGATTAAAATCATAGGATTTAAAGTTATGCTCTGCCTGCTTCCTCATAGCATAAATTAAAGAGCATACTTGTATATCTTCAGTTTCCTTACATAATTTTGTAGCAATTTGAAATCTTGCAAAATGTTGATTCTAGTCTGTTTATCTAAGCTGAAGTTCTCTGGGGCAATGGAGAGAGGGATATTGATGAGATCCTGCAACCTCTGTTCTTTTTTTTTTTTTCTTGTCTGCAACTTCTGTTGCTGTTCCTTCTGCATGTAACTTCTGTTGCTGTTTTCCTTCTGTTCTTGTTCTCCTCTGGCACTGCTGAACTTTGGACACCATGTCATGTACACCTTTTACAAGTAGGTGGCAGGGCTGCTATTAGCTGGTCAGACTTCTGTACCACTCATGGACCGGCTATAGAGCTTCCTTCCTATATAGTTTCATGCCAGATGTGTTCTCTATAAGATCCCTTTAATGCTCTTCATGGCATGGCTGAGGTTAGTTTAAATAAATTGCAACACACAGCACCACCTTTTAGCCGAACAGCATAATACAGTTTAGTCTTCCATTACGCTGCCAATGCCCCTCTCCTCAGCTACAGCTTCTCCTGCTATTGCGGAGGCATTTCACTCAGTGGCACCAAGAAGGACCCACCTCTGCGCTGTGCCCTGGCACTTTGCACCTGTGCCCCCAGGATGATTAAGACCAAGCAGAGCAGGGCCCCCAGGATAATGCAGACGACCATAGGCACCGTGACTCTCCCACTGTCAGTCAGAGGGCGTCGCAGGGAAGCTGGATGGAAATGAACATACAACAGAGAGAGATTATCCTGTGAGAGTCAGGGGGTCCCAGGGAGCTCCCCAGTCACTCATTGCACAGCCCAAGACAGCAGGGTAATGGGCTGGGACACAGTCTGTGCGCCATGGGGGGAGCTCACAGGCTGCTGTTTAAATCATGGGCTCTGCCCTGTCAGCTGGAGTCCTGCTCAGCACCCGGGTGTCATTCACCCTCAGATTTCATAGACCATGGAAAGGAGCTCCTTCCCTCAGGCTGCAGCTCCTCCTCTGTGACCCAGCACCAGGTAAATTTAACCCTGGATGGAAGGAGATAGATGTTTTACCCGTTCTAGTCAGTGAATCTGATGTCTCTGTCACACCTGCAAAGGGAAAGGGAGGAGAGTTGGAGTCAGGAGTGGGGGGGGGTGGGCGGGGTGAGGTGTTTGTTACCAGGAGAAGGGGCCCTCTGAGAGTCCCTGGGGGTCTCCAGCTGTGACCTGTTCTGTTTCCCAGAAACTCCTGCACAGCAGCATAGGGCCTGTATGTTAGAGATTGTGGGCCCAACTTAAGTCCCCTGTGCTGAGAACACTAGTAACAAACCAGCACACTGGCACCTATGATGGATGTAGGGGCTATGTGGGCTGATGCCTTAGCCAATCTGGCCCCACAAAGATTCCACCCCACAGCATCCATGATGCTCCTGCACACAGGAGATGGGAGGGCCTGATCTGGGACCAAGGTGGAGAGGCAGTTGGATCCATCCCTTCTGTGAAAATTACAGCATGTAGCAGAACCATCTCCTGTCACTCACCTGAGCAATTTACAGCAGCATCTTCCTTATGGTCACAGTTACTCTCACCCCAGGGCTTGGCAGGACACTTCCAGAGAGATGACTCTGTCCCTCTGCAGTTCACCTTCTCCACCCAGATGGGACCAGTCCCCTCGCCGAATACAGCCTCGCCCGGGGCAGATACAGCAGTTCCACAGCCCAGTTGTTTACACACAACATTACCATCTGCCATGTCCCAGGAGTCATCGCAAACTGTTCCCCAGGAGCCACGGTACCAAACCTCCACTCTCCCCGAGCATCCATCCTCTCCTCCCACGACACGTAACTTCTCCTGGTCTGGAAATGTAGAAACCTCACATGTTACTGGGACAGCTGGGAAAGTCCTTAGGGACCAAAAGTGAGACAGTGAGAAGCAGAGATACCTGTGCAGTTTGTAGAGTTCGGGCATTCACCAAACAGGGTCTGAAGTGGTTTTTCTTTTATTCCTATGGATAGAAAATTATGACATGAACAGACTGAGAAACGTGTGGGATGTAGAAGAGAGTAGGGTTTCATAAGCTTAAATCTAAATCCCTAGGAGGAGGTAGAGGGAACGCTGGTAGACACAGCGAACAAAGAGATAGCAAGAAGATTAGGCAAGTGCTTAGGGAAATGCAGCAAAGTACGGGATGGAACAAACCTTGACTGCTAACGAGGGGGTCCCTGAGCCAGAACCCAGAGTAGAGTGGGGGCCCGGATTCCCCAACCAGCCACTTGGGAAGTGGCACCATAGGAAGGCTGGCTGAACCTGTTTGGGAGAAGACTCCCCCCGCCCAGAAGTGCAAACCACAATAGTGACCTAGCTGGAGGGCTGAGTCACAAAGAGACCACAGCGGCTCCTGGATCAAGAGAGCAGCTGCAGATAGAGAGACAGAGATGGAGGGATGGTTTGCAACCATGGGGAGAAGCGTTGACCTGGTGAGCTAGTCCCCAGAACAACCAGGAGGAGGGGCCATACTGCGGTGAATAGAGCACCCCCATCACACAGACACAGACACTTTTGGGGAATTCTGATCTTGACCTAGATTTCACAGGCAGGGTTTCAGGAATCAGCACCTGCAGCAGAGCAGTCTCCAGGCAGCTGGCCTGTAGTAGGCTGCCTGATTGGTGGGAAGGGTCTGCAGTGCAGCTCTTGAGTCTAGCAGCCATTCAGCGACTGCTCAAAGCATTTCCCACAGCTGCAATACCTCGTGCTCCTGCCTGGTTCCCAACCTTGCTCTTGCTTTGACCCCAGACTTACCCCGGCCTTGCCTTGCTCCAGGTAACCCGATCCTGGCTCTTGCCTCTGATTCCTGACTTCTGACTTTGGCTCTGATCCCTGGCTCTGAGTTCTGACTACCAGCTCCTGCTCTACCCACTGTACCTGACTCCTGCTCCAACCACTCACCACAACTGCCTATGTCCTGGTCACTGACATTGGGCCCATCTCTGATTGTTTAGCCCAAAAGGATAACCACAGAGATTCCCAAATGACGCTAGCTAATGGGAGGCATTTGTGAGCTCTCACTAGGTGATTGCACTGTGTACCACACAGCTTGTATAAATAACTAATTCCCCTGTTTGTTTTCCATGGGCCTCATTCTCATTCCTAGAATGGACGATGAAAATATGTCTGTGTCATTGCTGAGAATGTAAAACTGTCTATTCTGAAAAGTAAATACATGCAAAATTTCTATCACACCCTTTCAATGAGTTAAACACGTAGAGGGTGTGTTCATGCGTGCACACAGACAGTTTCAGAATTACCACTGCAAGAAATATGGGTCTCTTCTGCTCGGTTATCACAGGATTGCTGTTTCCACAGGCCTCACGGGCACTGCCAGAGGGAGCTGTGCTGCTCACGGCATGAAACATGGTCCAGCCACGTGGGACCAGAACCTGCTCCATATGCAAAGTCACTTGCAAGCTGCCCTCCATCCCCACAGTTCAGTTGTTTGCAGACAATCGCTGGGGTGACTCCAGACATCCCATTGGAGCAAACACTGCCCCAAGTCCCATTGTAGAAAACCTCCAGCCGCCCAGCACAGTCACTGTCGCTTGCCAGCCTCAGATCTGTGAATTCTAGAAGGAAATGCACAAAAAGGGGATTTAAATCTTCGATTCTGAAAAGATCTGGGGTGTAAAGAGTGAAATCCCAGCGATCCCTAAGAATCCTGTTCATTATTTTGCAGACGCAAGTGCCAGAGATAATCACTCCAAGAATCAGAGACTCTTCTGGACACCACAGGCCCATTAGTAATAGAATGATCCCCTCTTGAAAGTCAACATTTCCCAGCAGTTACACACACAGATACCTGCAATACAGCAGTGACTGCCCTCCCAACACTAGAGAAATGCTGCGATATCTCCAATACCCCTGGGTGGGAACATATGGGAAATGGTGACTTTCTAATCATGATCCCTGTAGGTAGGTAGGAGAGACAGCAAGGAAGAGTATCAATCATTCTCAGCTCTCTCCTCAAATCTCTGCCCCCTCCATTAAATAGCCTGGTAAGGAGGCTCACATGAGCATTCCCAGACCAGACCTGAGCAGAGAACTCCCGCGTCCTCTTTGTGTCTGCAGTTGTGCTGGCCCCAGCCTTTGGAAGGACACTCCCAGAGATGGGATTCGTTCCCAGAGCACTTCACATCATCCAGCCAGATCTGCCCGGATCCTTGCCCATAATGAGCAGAGACAGTTGCATTAATGGCACGTCCACATCCCAGTTGTTTGCAAACAACATTGGAGTCTGACAGATCCCAGGAATCATCACAGACTGTCCCCCAGCTGCCGTTGTAATAAATCTCCACTCTCCCGGCACAGCGACCTGCCCCATTCACCAGTCTGATCCGCCTGCTCCCTGCAGGAATAGATCCCAGTTGTTAATATGCAATATAATAATAGCTGAACAGCTTCCAGGCACATTAATGATGATAGTGCAATGGCTGAGATACTGAAATACTTTTAAAAATCTGTCTTTGCAAGAAACACAGACAAGAAAAGAAGGCTGTAATGTAAGGAAATGAGGAAGATTTTTAGAGAACAGCCTTGATTAACACCAAGGGCCTAATTCTGAACTCCTTACTCATCTGAGTAACCCTTATGGGTAGGAACTTACCAAATTCAGGTCCATTTTGGTCAATTCCTTGGTCATAGGATTTTAAAAATCATACATTTCATTATTTCAGCTATTTAAATCTGAAATTCCACAGTGTTGTAATTACAGGGGTTCTGACCCAAAAAGGAGTTGGGGGGTTGCAAGGTTATTGTAGGGAGTGGGAGGTGGGGGGTTGCGGTACTGCTACCCTTACTGTTGCACTGCTGCTGGCGGCAGCGCTGCCTTCAGATCTGGGCAGTTGGAGAGCGGCGGCTGCTGACCAGGAACCCAACTTTGAAGGCAGAGCCACCGCCCACAGCAGCATAGAAGTAAGGATGACATGGTATGGTATTGTCACCCTTACTTCTGCGCTGCTGCTGGTGGAGTGCTGCCTTCAGAGCTGGGCACACGGCCAACAGCTGCCACTCTGTGGCTGCCCAGCTCTGATGGCAGCACAGAAATAAGGGTGGTGATACCACCCCCTCTAAAATAACCTTGTGACCCGCCCGCAACTCCCTTTTGGTTCAGGACCCCCAATTTGAAAAACGCTGGTCTCCCCCATGAAAGCTATATAGTATTGGGTAAACACACCCAAAAGACCAGATTTTACAGGAGGAGACCAGATTTCACAGTCCGTGACATGTTTTTCATAGCCGTGAATTTGGTAGGGCCCATCTTATGGGACTCGTCACATGGGTAAGAGGTACTAGTGAGACTAAGGTTATGCAGAATCACCCCTTACTGGAAAGTTTGAATATTTTCAAACTGCTCTTAAAGGATAAGCATCAAGTTGTTCAAGGAATTATTAGACAATAAATTTAACAAAAAACAAATAGCCTTTTAAATTGTTATAGAATTGGGGTGACACCAGAGGATTAGCGAAAAGCAGACATGGTAACAATTTATTTTAGAAATATAGGGAAAGAAAGGCAATTGGATGCATGAGTCTACAACAAAGTCCCAGGCACTAAGGGCCCAATTCTACCCTGCTGAAATCAACTGTGAAGCCCCCATTGACACAATGGGAGCAGGAATGGACCCTTAATGTGCCTTAGTTACCCTGCAGTTGGAATGGGCATGAAAAATGATTTCAGTGCAATAACATAGAGTGCATGATATAGGGATATGTTACTTGAAGGATACTGGGGATACCAGTGTTATGGTTCTATGTTTACTTTTACTGTGGAATCTTAAAATAAATAATATACCATCAAAAAGAATAATAGAATTATCTTGTACAATAGTCATCTACAACCAGGAACAATGAAAAAATCCCATCACAGATTCCTTTTTTCCCCTTTTAAACAAAGGAAAATTGCACAGTTATACGATTAGGACTTAACATCATCACATTATAACAGCAACTTTGATGTATTTCCTAAGTGACAGAAGGTTAGATCCACAAAGGTGCCTACATACCTAACTGCCTCTTTATAAATACATAATGTATAAATAGTTACATATTTATTGAAGCAGGGAATTGACTCTCTCCCATTCCCGGCAAGTGCCCTGGCCACCAGGCTAGAGTCACTCTCTTGCTTTTTCTCTGATTCAGTGACCAATTATTTGTACAAAGTGGAACATTTCCAGCAGGAGAGACCCACCCCAGCATACCCTATAGTAACTAGAGCACTCACCTGTGTTCACATCCCTGTTCCAAATCAGGAAGATCGGGGATTTTAACATGGATTTCCCACATCCCAGTTGAGTGCTTTAACCACTGGTTTATGGATAAAATGGGGAGATTTGAGAGCTGACCTGGCTTACCTGCCTAGATCCAGGAGTGAGTTTGTGGCTGAGAGTCCTAGGCAGAGATAGGTGCCTACATCTGACCTGTGTGTCAGAGGCCTAAGGCTTAGATCAATGGCAGTTAGGCATCTAAATAACTTTGTGTATCTAGGCCATACTCCCTTCCTTGGCATTTCACTGCTGGTAAGTTTAAGGTGGCTCCCTGTTCAGCTTGCAGGCTTCTGAGGTGTCTAACTCTCCCCATGCATTGTACGGGGAGCTGGGCACGTGACTCAGGGCTGAGGATCTCATTGGGTGGCAAGACACCTAGGAGTCAGGCCTTGCAATGCCCAAGTCCCTTTTGGGATCTAGCCCAGAGCCACTATCCATGGCACTCTTGGTCAAAACAGGTTACATATGACTTCCTTTTCTTACTATTGTTTTCTGATTCAAGACAGCACATTTTTTAAGACTTTAACATAAAGAAGCCACTATATACACTAGAACTGCTCGGGAAATTCATTCTTTTCCCCCACAAAATATTTAGATGACCACGAATATTTTTTTCTCTTCTGTAACTAAATTTGGATTTTTCAACAAAAATCTGAACATTTTCAATGGAAACAGACATTCTGTGAAAATCATTAATCTTATTGTGAAGATTTTTCATCACATTTTTTTAAATCAGCTCCAATACATAAAAATATACGATAGAGAGAGACAGGACGGGAGGAGGTTGCTTCATTTTATTAACCCTATAATGTGGCTATGCTTTTTCTGTATATAATATGATATTTTTACTATAAATCGGCAAAAGTTTGAACCTCAGATCCACATTGTTTCAAGGACTGCTGAGATCTCAGCACAAGGTGGGGTGGAGGCAGGCCCTGGGGTGGATCATGTTCCCATTGAACAAGGACAGGATATTTATAAGATTTCCACACTAAGTCACCTGAGCAAATGACACCAACGTCCTCAGCAATTCCTGCCTGGGCTGTCTCAGATGTGGAGTTGTCACAGAGAGTCAGACGAGTCTCATTTCCTGCACACTGGACCCTTCTCAGCCCCACAGGGCCCGTTCCTCGCTCAGACATAGGGGAGTTATAAGCTTTCTCAGCAACTCCGCACTGGAGCTGCCTACACACCACGCTGGCATCGTTCATGTCCCACTGATCATCCAACACTCTGCCCCACACGTCATGGAGGGAAATCTCGACTCTGCCATCACACTGACTCTCTCCATTCAACAGCCTGAGCGACTCAGAACAACCTGGGCTCGGAGAGACAGGAAATGCACTGAATAAAACTCCCTGCTGGTACTGCATTAGAAATAATGCTCAGGTGTGATGTGAAACACAGTTTTCTGTGGCAAGTGGAAGGTAACCCTCACTGCTGTGCAGTGCTACAGGGAACAACCTCTCTCAAGGGCTCCATTTATCTCTCTATTCAGAAATGCAGGGGGTGAGGGTGGGAAAGGCTTCCCAAGCTCTGAGGCCAGATCCTGTGAGGAGCTGGGCCCCTCCTGTACGCTGCAGAGTGCTCTCACTTCTCTCTGGAGTTACTGTGAGTGGAAGGTGCTCAGGAACACCTGGCAGATCAGGTCCCAGTACAAAAGGCCTCCGTGCTCACACAATGCACTGACAGCAGCAGCGCTGTGAGGTCGCTGTGATTTACAACAGGAGTCTGGGTATTGGCCTACTTCCCTGCTGCAATTCCCAGATCCAGCACTGCCAGGACACGTGGCTCCTTTAAAGAAAACCCTGCCCTGTTTTCACTGTTCAATGTACATTGGTGACCTGTGATCACCGCCTCAGCTCCAAACTCATAAGGAGCTAATACAATAAAGGCTTTTCTGCACTCAGCTGGGTTTTTCCAGGCCAGGTCTACAACTCTGAACACTTGAGTTTCCTTTCCCATGTACTCTAGCTATTGGCTTGGCTGGAGATGATGCTTGGAGGGGTGAGTGACCTCTGGTCAATGGGAAAGAAGTTTCCATTTTTTCCTCAAACATATATGTATATATATATATATTTCATTTTAAAAGTTTGTCCACCGTGAGCACATAAAGTTGTTGGAGTTCCTTGTTGGAGAAGCCAAAACCCTTTCATGTGTTTACTGCCATTGGAGATTTTTTTATACAGTGTCTACGGCACCTTGCATTTCAAAGGAGCCAATGTACTCCCAGAACATGATTTGTAAACCAGTTAAAACTTCCTAAATAAATATACATAGACAGATCAGTAGTGATTCATAGCTCAGGATGGGCTTAACGTTGCACATAAGACAGGGAGTCAACTACTCTTTTCTATTAAAGTTGCATAGAATCATAGAAGATGAGAGCTGGAAGAGACCTCAGGAGGTCATCTAGTCTAACCCCCTGCTCAAAGCAGGACTAACACCAACTAAATCATCCCAACCAGGGCTTTGTCAAGCTGGGCCTTAAAAACCTCTAAGGATGGAGATTCCACCACCTCCCTAGGTAACCCATTCCAGTGCTTCACCATCCTCCTAGTGAAATAGTGTTTCCTAATATCCAACCTAGCCCCTTACCCTCCCCCCGCAACTTGAGATCATTGCTCCTTATTCTGTCATCTGCCACCACTGAAAACAGCCTAGCTCCATCCTCTTTGGAACCCCCCTTCAGGTAATTGAAGGCTGCTATCAAATCCCGCCTCACTCTTCTCTTCTGCAGACTAAGTTACATATGGTCTGATTCTCCCATTAAGGCTCCTTTACGCTGAGTAGCTGGGATTAGTGAGAATCGGACCCAGTGTACTCTCCCCTCACTTACATCACAGATTCTCTGGGTCAATGTGACCCACATGCTTCGCACTGCAGCATTTGACTTTGTTTCTCCGACAGGAAGGGAGAGACGCAGTGGGGAGGGGACATGGATTGTAGCTGGATACTCTGGGCCTCTGTTACATTGTGGGCAACCAACCTGGCAGGTCACACCCTAGGGCTTGTCCGCACTTGAAAGGCTACAGCGGCACAGCTGCAGTGCTGCAACTACACCTCTGTAGTCCTTCAGTGTAGACACTACCTAGGCCAACGACAGGGGTTCTCCCATCGCGGTAGTTAATCCACTTTCCCAAGAGGCAGTAGCTAGGTTTATGGAAGAATTCTTTTTTCAACCTAGTGCTCTCTATACCAAGGGTTAGGTTGGTTTACCTATGTCACTCAGAGGACTGGATTTTTCACACCCCTGAGTGATGTAGCTTGGTCAACCTAATTTTTTTATATCAAATGCAGCCCTGTGGCCTCAGCGGCTGATAGATGAAGGACTGAGAGATCTGTCTGCTGTGAGGGCTGCTTCCAATCCCTGTACCACATTGAATACAGGCTACAGATTTCTGTTTCACCAGCAACTGAGAGCCACTGAGCTCTTAACCCAAGGGCTGGAATGCTGCTAGCTGCCGAGATCCCCAGACTGGTTGGTTGCTGACCAAGTTCTGAAGTGTTTGAAACGACTGAGGTGCTGCCATTTGTCAAACTCAGAAGAATCCAGGTGACACACACTACATGTTATGACCGCACTGCAAAGCCTGAGAAATCATCTCTGAGAGAAGATTAGTGGGGAATGTGTTTTGATCTGTGTGCTGAAGTACAGAACATGTTAAGTTGAAACCTTATATTTGAATGTTTGTAACAAACAAAAGAGGGGAAGGCTGTATAAGGAAAAGCAGTAGATTTACTGTCTAACAGATTTTTTTAAAGTTATTCATAGTATTCCAAATACTATTTACAATGTTTTCGGTGTGCATTAAATGTTTGTTTTAGTAAGGTCATGTCTGTACTGCAGGTGCTACAGTGACACAGCTACAGCATTCCACCTATGACGCTGTATCACCGTACTGTAGATGCTTCTTGGAGTGACAGAAGAGGCTTTACTATTGCTGTAGGTAATCCACCTCTCTGAGTGGTGCTAGCTAGGTCAATGGAAGAATTCTTCTATTGTTGTCTACACTGGGGGTTAGGTTGGCACAGCTACAATGCTCAGGGATGTGAAGCCTATGGATCCTATTGATTAAGGCTGGTCAGTGCCTAAATCCTTTTAGAAAATGAGAGTTAGGCTCCTAAATCAGTGCAGAAATGCCTAAATACCTTAAAAAATCTTGGCCTATGCCACTATGGGTAGCCCTCAGATAACTTGCCATCTATCAGCCAGTGTTGCTTTCTAATGTGGGGAGGGATAGCTCAGTGGTTTGAGCATTGGCCTGCTAAACCCAGGGTGGTGAGCTCAATCCTTGAGGAGACCACATAGGGATCTGGGGCATAAATTGGAACTTGGTCCTGCTAGTGAAGGCAGGGGGCTGGACTCGACTCAATGACCCTTCCAGCTCTATGAGATATAGGTGTGACATTGTGCAGTCTACATGGTTTTATAAAAACATGATAATAAGTGAATATAATGTAACTGGAATATGCTTCATGCAAAAGGTCTCTTGTAAGGTATCATTACAAAGCTTATAATCTACTGAATTTGATCATCCTATTTGTATAAATGTATCATTCTTGTATCTAAAACTAGAGATATAAAATATAACTCTGAGGGCCTATTGTAATTATGCAAAGTGTGGGCCATTAATGGTGGTTTGGAATCTTGATGATTCCCATTAACCAGGACCATTGTCTGCAGATGGCTGTTTTTTACCTGTGAGTCTTCCTGTATATGTGTGTGCTGGCAAGTGGGTAATGAAGTCTTGCAGTGACGTGTGATCATGTCACCTGAAATGGAATCCATCTTTAACCTGGTGCTTTTCCAGTGAGGGGGGGTGGAAACCCAGAGGGACAAAGGGTTCCCGCCTTATGCAAAAGATATATAAAGGGGTGGAACAGAACAAAGTGAGAGGAGAGAGAGGAGCCATCATGAAGAATCCCCTAGCTATCACCTGAGTTGGAACAAGAGCTGTACCAAGGGGAAGAATTGTGCCCAGGCCTGGAAGGTGTCCAGCCTGAGAAAAAAAATTTACTGAAGCATCTCTGAGGGTGAGATTATCTGTATTCAGTTTGATTAGACATAGATTTGCACATTTTATTTTATTTTGCTTGGTGACTTACTTTGTTCTGTCTGTTACTACTTGGAACCACTTAAATCCTACTTTCTGTATTTAATAAAATCGTGTTTTACTTATTAATTAACTCAGAGTATGTATTAATATCTGGGGGAGCAAACAACTGTGCATATCTCTCTATCAGTGTTATAGAGGGCGAACAATTTATGAGTTTACTCTGCATAAGCTTTATACATGGTAAAACGGATTTATTTGGGTTTAGACTGCATTGGGAGTTGGGCATCTGAGTGCTAAAGACAAGCACACTTCTGTGAGCTGTTTTCAGGTAAACTTGCAGCTTTGTGGCAAGTTATTCAGACCCTAGGTCTGTGTCGGAGCAGACGGGAGTGTCTGGCTCAGCAAGACAGGGTGCTGTAGTCCTGAGCTGGCAGGGAAAACAGGAGCAGGGGTAGTCTTGGTACATCAGGTGGCAGCTCCCAAGGAGGGTTCTGTGATCCAACCCGTTACAATAGGTATATCTCCATATATTTTGGGGAGGAAGGGAGGGATAGCTCAGTGGTTTGAGCATTGGTCTGCTAAACCCAGGGTTGTGAGTTTAATCCTTGAGGGATCCATTTAGAGATCTGGGACAAAAATCTACCTGGGGATTGGTCCTGCTTTGAGCAAGGGGTTGGACTAGATGACCTCCTGAAGCCCCTTCCAACTGTGATATTCTATGAGGAAGTTTTTGACATTGGATGAGGGAAAATCTTTGGAGAAGCCTGCAGGAAAAAGGACCCCTGAGTATTTGTGTTGCATTGTAGAGGAGGATCTTCATCAAAGCACCAGAGCAGGATCTTTGTGAAAGTTCCCAGCTGGCTCTGGAGCCATCTGAAAACCGGGATCTTTGGCAAAGAAGTGACTATTTCTATGAAGTGTTGTGGGGAATTAATGATCTATCAACCTACACAGCCACTGAGCAAACTCTGCAGCTGAGGGCTGCAGTCCACCAGCACACAACCCGGGATGGACAGGGAGGGGGACATTTTGGCCAGGAACACCAGGGCAAACACCTACTTTTCCAGAGTGAAATGGGATTGTAATGGCCCCACAGCTTGGATGAGATCTCTGCGTATAGGTTGCTTCTGCAACACCCACCTCAACCTGATGAAGGGCTGAGTCAGCCCTGCTGGGACTGAGGGAATCTGTGAATCACAAACCCCAAGTTTATCGCACAGAGCCGTTCTCTCCGGTTCACGCTAGCGTAGTGCTAGGATCCACCTTGCCACCCCTCACTGCACCCAGAGGAGTCTCTGATCTGAGGAACTTAAACAAAGAGAAACATTCCGATACCCCTACTTACCTTGAGTACAGTAGTCAATGGGACTACTCATGATGATCCTAATCTGGGCAGTACACTGAACGGTAACTAACATATACAGTCTATGTTAAACTTACCTGAGCAAATAACCCTGGCCGTGTGTCTGAGGGAGCAGGCTGGGTTGCCCAGGGCCATGCGAGAACAATCCCAAAGGCAGGATTCAGTCCCTTCACAATGAAAAGCGTCGCTCCATACGGTTCCGTTCCCTTCCCCGAAATGGGCTCCTCCCCGGATCGACTCGGCGTAGCCACAGTTCAGCTGATGGCAGAGGACATTGGCATCTTGCAAATCCCAGTGGGAGGCACAGAGGCTTCCCCGTGTGTCTCCATGTCGGATCTCCACTCTCCCGGAGCACTCGGTGCCGTTCCCTAACTTGCCACCCGGGCACCCTGAACACGAGGAAATGTGAGTGTCGAGGTGGCGCAGTGATCAGAGTTAAGAGCAACGACTGGGAGGGGAGTGGGGAACAGGAAGGGATTGTTGCTCATATTCAATGCTAGCAGTTACTCTGTGGGTGCTGTGGGGCTATTCCACACCAGCACATTCACAAACTGATACTTGATCCACATCAGTTAGTGTGAAGGGAGGACAAGGGACCAGAATTTGGTTTCCTTGGTAGATTCCATACTCAAGGCACCACAAGCATTTCACAGAGGGATCAGTTCCAGCAGACCTGGCTGGTGCAGGGACAGGGCGGCAATTTATGGGCCAGGTCCCCACCTGGTGTAAATCAGCATAGCCTCACTGAGCCCAATGGAGCTTGGCCGATTGACACACTGTGAAGATCTGGCTGAGGATGTTCCCCAATCCCCAATTCTTTTCTTTCCCACTGCAGCTCACCTGAACACACCACGTTGGCTTCGCTCCCAGGGGGACACTCAGTTGTGCCCAGTGCAGTAACAGGACAGTCCCTCAGGCGGGAATCATTCCTCTCACAGCCAAATGTGCCGTTCCAGACAGGCCCGTCTCCTGTGCCAAAGAGCTGCCCTGCTGGAATCAACAGGGCGAATCCACAGTCAAGCTGCTGGCAGAGGGTGTGGGCAGCCTGTAAATCCCACTGGGAGTCACAGAGGGTTCCCCAGGTGCCTCCATGGAGAAGCTCCACTCTCCCCGAACACCCTGTGCCGCCGTTTGTCAGTCTGTACCCGTCGTACCCTGAGAACAAGGAGAAGGGAGATCAGAGGAGACAGTGTTTTCCTGTGGAAAAATAGTAAGTGATCACATAAATAAAATCTGTATCGTAATCTACACACATATAGGGATTGCCCAGGTCACATTAACTCTGGCATTTCCTAGCTTTCAAGTGCTCAACTTGTAACCTAAGTTACTTTCTTTTAACACAGTGTGTTTTGGGGGAGAGGCTATTTTTTTTTAAATAAATGTGGATCAAGAAGTCCAGTTAGCCACTGGGCCCCTGTGTGCACCCCTCCAGCTATGATTCTTCCAAAAAGCCTGAGCTTGAGCCTGACCACCAACTTCCTCCTCCCTCCCAGGGGAAGGCAACACATCCTGGCTGCACAGGGTTTGAAAATGAACCTTCACTGCCCAATCTAACTCTCTGGCTGGTATCACTTCACTTTTGTTTTTTCTTCAGATCTGCACCATCTAACTTTCCTTCTCTCCCATTCACTGCCCCTTCTCCTGTGTCACCTGACTGAGCTCACAGCCTGGTCTACCTACCCTGGCCCAGTAACTGAACTCACCTTCCTCACTTCACCCCTTCTCTTGCTGTTCCAAAGCCCTGCAGAGCTGCTGCCATCTTCCCCTGACTCCTGCAGCTAAATCCTTCAACTGTGACTGCCAAGATAATCCAGCTCCTGCTTTTGCTTAACAGCCACATGAGCTTCTCAGGGCAATTGCTCCGACTGTGCAGTGGCTGCTACTGTCCCTCTCACCTGACTGTTCACTGCATCTTCACCGATCACGCGATTGTCCAGAGAAATAACTAGAGCTGAGTGAAAATTGAAATCTCTGTCTCCCAGGAAGCTCTGATAGCTACACATTTGTTTTCATCCTGCATCAGGACAAAATATGGAAATATTGAAAATTTTCATGGGACAAAAAGTTCTGAAAAAAGTGACAAAACATTTCATTTTGGCACCTTCAATCTAAATAACCAGTTTCCACTTTCCCAAATTGAAATGTTTCCTTTCAGTTTGTCGAACTGACCCCAAGTGTTTTAGTTTGAGTCAGGTCAACATTAAACTTCATTTCCCTCTGATGCCTATGTTTTGCCTTATAGGCCAGGTTCCCTGACCAGACTAAATCTCTCATCATGCACCTGCAGTCATGTGGCTACCATGCGGCAACTGTGCCACCAGTTAGAGGGAAGATTTATACTGTATAAGGGGAGATTTAATCTGGCCAGAGAGCCCAGTCCATAGGAGAGAACTGGAGCCTGAACTACAACTCCCATGAGGCAATGTGCCACAACAGGGAAATGAAGATTACTGTTGAACTGACTAGAAATGTAACATTTTGGGTCAGTTCTACAGTCTGAAATATTCCCACCGGGGTTGAACTCACCCCAAATGAAACATTTCATTTCTATTTTCCCAACACAACACTGAAAAAAATTAGCAAAATTGAAAGTTTCCCAGGGAAAGTTTTGATTTTGAGGAAACGGCATTTTCAGTTAAAGAAAAATTCTAATGGAAAATTCCTGGCCATCTCTAGGAATAACTAACTCAATTCTAACTAACTCACCTCACATCTCATCTCATTGCTTATTGATTCACTGCTACTGATTTAATTGGATTCCATTTATTATTTCACTGTTCACTTGTTTACTAACCATGTTCATCTGTCACTTGCCCATGGCTCTTATCACACCTTCTTGTGGATCACAGATCTGCCCTCTTCCTCCCTCAATCCTAAACTCCCCCCCATTGTCCCCATTTCCCCATTCTATTACCTTCACCCCTCCACAGATCCCACCAACTCTAACAGCTTCTCTTCCATCCTGATCTCTATCCCCTTCCCATCCAGATCCGACATCATCCTCTGCTTCCTCCTCTTGGTTTCCGGTTACAACTTCTCCAATCCTGGACCCCCTTCATTCCCATCGTCTCCACCTTCCACACCCATCCCCATCATCCCCTCTCATGCCACCATTCCTAACCTCATGTCCAGCCCCCTTCCTTCCCTCCTCCTCTTGCTGTCTCTAGAATGCCCACTGCATCCCTAAAAAGATCACAAACATCCACAACCTTTTCATCACTCACTCACTCCAGCTCCTGTCTCTCACAGAGACCTGCATCCCTCCATCTGACATTGCCTCTGCAGCTGCGGTTTTAGAGGCCTCTCCTCCTCTCACAATCCCAGCCCTGAATCATCCCCAAAGAAACAAGCTGAGTGTGTTGGACTTCTCTGCTCTCACATTTTCTTCTCCTTTGAGTAGCACTCCAACCTATTCTTCTCTCCTCTCCCCCTCTATGTTACTGTCAGCTACTGCCTACCCAGCTCCTCCTCATCAGCCTTTCTCTGTGATTTCAGCTCCTGGATCTCTCTCTTCCTCTTATCACAATCTTCCACATTCATCCCCGGAGACTTTATTGCCAATGTTAATGGCCCATCTGACTAGAGCTTGAAGGGAAACAATTTTCCTGTTGTTCACGAATGTTTGAGATTTTGATAAATTTTCCCATACTGAACTGGAATGAAATGCTGAAATTTCAAAATTTTTCACAAACTGAATATCCATATTTTTTTTGGATCAGGTCAGTTGAAACATTTTTAGATCAGTTTTCATAATGTCTAAATGTTTAATTATGATTTACACATTGAAATGTAAAAAGGTACTATAAAGTCACTTACTTTCAAAACAAAAAGTCATTTTGACCCCAAAACTTGAATTTTCCATTTCAAAAATATCAAAATGGGACATTTCAACAATTTTAAAACTTTCTTCAAAATTGTTTTAAAAAAGAAAATTTGCCAAAACCAACCTTTCCCGCAGTTTGAGTTTTGACAAATTAGTATTTTCCAATGAAAGAAGGATTTGTTAAAAAAATTGAAACAAGCTCAATTTCTAACCTGTTAGCTGCCTGTCTCCTTGCCCTCCCCTCTGCATTGACCTACAGCCCTGGATCAGCTCTCCCACTCCCCTAAAGGGACGTTCACTCAACCTGGTCTTCAACAAGCATAGTTCTCGTTTGCATATTGCTGTTGCTGTTCCCCCAGTCTGGCCATCACCTGGTCACTTCCAGCATTATCCACCAGTCTCCTCCTTCTTGCCACATTGTCTGATCCTTCCTTGATTTCCAGTCCATCAATCTCAATGACCTGCTTAGCCTCTCCTCTCTTTTCTTTCCCCCAGCGACATGGTGGTTGCTTCCTGCACCTTTGACTCTTTAGGCCCACTCTCCCACTGCAAGGTCCGGCCTGCCGACCCCCAGCCCTGCCTCAGCCCCAGCACTCCTATTCTCCTGCAGCAGAGCATCTCTGGTGGAAATCCTATAGCCAGGCTGACTTCCTCCACTACACATTCATGCTCTGCTCCTTCAAATCCGCCATTTTCTTAGCCAAGCAACTCTCCTTTTCCACCTTGATTGATTCCCCACCTGCAATCCCAGGAACCTTTTTGCTATCTTTGACTCACTGCTCAAAGCCTTATAGTCCTGTCTGCACAGGAAATTGCTGATTTGCATTTGTTAAATAGTTTCAGAAAATTTTTTGACTTCTCATTTCAAAATGACGTTTTGCTTAGAAATTTAGCTATATTTGTTTTAAAAACCCACAAAAGGGTGAAAAAATTGAAAAATGAAATTAAACCAAAAACTGAAATAAAATTATTTTGGGATGAACAAAATGTTTCATTTGGCCCAAAACAATTTTTTAAAATTTGTTTTTGTTTAGTTTTCAGGTGTTTATTTTTGGTCGTTGAACTGAAAAAATCAATTATCTGCTTAACTCTACTTATCAAGCTAACAACTCCCACTGTTGCTCTGCCAATGAAGGCAGCCTTCATCGCTTGCTTCTCCCTTAAACATCTCTGCATGATCCTCCCTTGAGTAGGAAGAACTCCCAGTCAAAATCCATAACACCATCATCTAATCCTCCTTCAAGTCCCTCCTCAAAACTCACCTTTTCCATAATTCATAGAGCAACATGCAACCTGACAATGGTAAGGCAACTGGTGAGTTGTCATTACTGTCCTGTAACATGGGCTACAGAGTGCCATTGAAGTGTGTGTGCAGGAAACACAGATTAGCCCCCTCCCCCACCTGACCCTTCTCTTCCCTTCTCTGGTGCCCCTCACCTACCAGCAGCCCCTATGGCCCATGAGCCCCTATACTCACACCCTCCTAATGTGAGTGAACAGCATTGCAACCTGCCACACAGGGTCACGGCACCACTCAGGTTTGGCCTGGCCAAAAAGTGGTCAGACCATGGTCTGGGTGGCCCTTCTGGCTCCACAGCCTATGAATAATGGTACAAAATTGTGCACACACTATTTTTATTACCATCTCCTCCCATTCGTATCTTGACCAGTTTGCTTGTCTCATCCCCCTGTGGGGATGGACTGTGAGCTCTTGGACTGTGAGCTCTTTGTGTCAGGGATTGTTATTTTCTCTATGTCTGTGTAGTGTCTAGCACAATGGGGCCTTGACCTGGTTGCAGCTTCTAGACATTACTGCAATATAACTAGGGCCCTACCAAATTCACGGTCCATTTTGGTCAATTTCACAATCATAGGATTTTAAAAATCATAAATTTCATGATTTCAGCTATTTAAAGCTGAAATTTCACAGTGTTGTAATTGTAGGAATCCTGACCCAAAAAGGAGTCGGTGTGGGGGGGGGAGGTTGTGGTACTGCTACCCTTACTTCTGCACTGCTGCTGACAGCGGCACTGCCTTCAGAGTTGGGCAGCTGGAGAGCAGTGGCTGCTGGCTGGGAGTCCAGCTCTCTGAGGGCAGAGCCGCTGCCAGTAGCAGTACAGAAGTAAGGATGGCATCGTGTGGTATTGTCACCCTTACTTCTGCACTGCTTCCTGAAGAGCTGGCCCTCAGTCAGCAGCTGTCACTCTCCAGCTGCCCAGCTCTGAAGGCAGCAGTGCAGAAGTAAGGGTGGCATAGTATAGTATTCCCACCCTTACTTCTGTGTTACTGCTGGCGGGGCGCTGACTTCAGAGCTGAGTTCCTGGCAAACAGCCACTGCTCTCTGGCCGACTGGCTGTGAAGGCACTGCAGAAGTAAGGGAGGCAATACCATGACCTTCCTAAAATAACATTGCAACCCCCCCGCAACTCCGTTTTGGGTCAAGACCCCAATTTGAGAAACGCTGGTCTCCTCCATGAAATCTGTATAATATAGAGTAAAAGCACACAAAAGACCAGATTTTACAGTGGGAGACCAGATTTCATGGTCCGTGACGTGTTTTTCATGGCCGTGAATTTGGGAGGGCCCTAAACATAACTGTTAAATAACAATAATAATATGGGAATGTTATAGGAGCCAGGTGAGTTTATGAAGCACAAAAGTGTGAGACAAAGGGACAACACACACAATAGATGAGGCAAGATAGCATGGGAAATAATAGCATGTGATCATGTAATTAAATATTATATGATAAAGCATAAGGGGGCAGAGTTAAGATTGCATGAGCAACCTTACTGTTAGCATTTCCTGCAATTTTGGATGCAAAATCTTAATTTTTGGTAGACTTTTTGTAAACAATTATTCATAACATTTTCATCAGTATCAATGGGTAGTACAGACAGTTACAGGGCAGTAGCAAATAAAGGTGACTGCAACTAGCAACTCTATCGTGCAAGTTTTTAAATTAATAATACTTTGTGCTTCTCTGGCATCTGACGTCCAAGGATTTCAAAGCTCTTTATAAAAATTAATGGATTAAACCTCACAATAGGATGGAGAGGGGGAAGTGTTATTATCCCCATTTTACATATGAGTAAACTGCAACAAAGATTGAGTGACAGTGTCGGAGCGGGAAATAAATCAGGTCTCCCAATTCTTGGTTTTCTGTTTTGATCTTTACACGATATCACTCCCTTTATAAACATGGCAGAGTAGGGCATGCTTAGCATCCAAGAAGCCCTGAATAACATGCGCCTTGTGACAAAGGTGAGGGGACAGGAAGAGACAGAGTGTGAGTGTGAGCGCTGCTGGAACACCACACTCAGTAGGGAAGAGGAGAGCAGAACTGTTCCACTTCAACAGAAGGACAAGGGATAGAGACAATAATGCTCTTCTTGATCCTCTCCTGGCAACTAGAGCACGGGGAGAGGAAGAGAGAGTGGAGTCATCCCTCCTAGCAGTCAGGAGTCTGTTGAAGTATCACTGTAACCAGTAATGCAAAGGCTTGTGGGTTCTCAGGGGAAAAATATGGATGAATATGGTGATCTGTTTAGAGAGCTGCTGAGCACCCCAGCTGTAGGACACATTATAGATATTTTAAAGCCATCACTTTGAACTCTTACCGGAGCATACAATGCTGGCATCGCTCGAGTGTGAACATGTCTCATTAGGATGCAGTGCTCTGGGACAGTACACAAGGCGTGTTTCATTCCCCAAGCAATGGATCTTCTCAAACCAGATTGACCCATATCCTTCACTGAAGTGCGCTCCTCCTGGGGTGGATACAACTGTTCCACAATCTAATTCATTACAGATAACACTGGCGGCTTGGAGGTCCAAGTGTGAATCACAGACTGTGGTCCATGTGTCTCCGTGTCTTATTTCAACACGTCCTGAGCAGGCAGTGTTCCCTCCAATCAGCTGGGGCTCAAGGCGTCCTAGACCGTCAGTAAATTCATCAGTGTTAGTTACATTGACATCCCATAATCTCCCTCTTACTTGACTAAAATTAAGTTTACTTTCTTGTACCAGCACTAAGATACTTTCAAACAGGCAGGAGACCTTTAATCTGTCATGGCAGTTCTGCTTTTCTGTGAAGGTACAGCTGTACAAGTGGGTAGAATTTACTCCTGGGATAGCAGCCATTGGCATTCTTAGCAGTGTGTATAACTTGTCCCACTAGTTATACCCAATGTTGCCTAAGCATTTTGCATCCTAAAGCACTTCTTCTGTTGCTCATAGCATTGTTAAACTACCACCTTTTGGTCTGAAATTTTCCAGGTCTGTCCTCTGTCAAATATGAATCTTTTAAAAAGATGGAGCAAGGTATTTAAACCACTTTTGAGAAAGACAGCAGTGAAATAAGTACACTTTTGAGCTTGTTGAACAGTTCTAGCATCTCAGTGGAATAGGACAAAAATTTGAAATTTGGAGAGAAGATAGTTGCTATATAGGGTGATGATCCACTCTGATTTGGCTGAGTTATAAGGTCAAGGAAATGTATTTTGCTCATGTGCCCTAATATTTTAATAATGATAAAGATGTTTTTAATAATGATCTCCAATATTTTATTATCACTGTATCTGCATATTCAACAACATGAAAGTGTACTAATGATATTTTTAAAACTCCATCTAATTCAATGTATAGATGCATTTGGAATGAGGCAGGGCTCTGAAGGAATCCTTGCTCCATTGACAGAAATTTATTCAAGCAAACT